AGGCGTTTCACGGAGGAAGACCAAACTTTTGCAGCTTTGCGAGACGTTATCCTCAATGGGTGGCCAGAAACAGAGAAACAGCTTCCGAAGGAACTAACACCCTACTTCAATTTTCGGGACGAACTCACTATCTGTGACGTTCTGTTGTTCAAGGGAAGTCGAATCCTAATCCCTTCTTCTCTCCGAAATGAGATGCTGGAGCATGTCCATCGCGCTCACCTGGGTGCAAATTACCTCATTAATCGAGCAAGAGAACTGATGTTCTGGCCAGGAATGACAGGTCAGATCAAGGATCATGTGTCTAACTGTGAGGTGTGTCGTTCACACGACATTCGGCATACCAAGGAACCGATGGTTCTGCATGATGTTCCGGACCGACCGCGGCGAAAGGTAGCAGTGGATCTATTCTGGGACAACGGAAAGGATTACTTACTCACGGTGGACTACTATAGTGATTACTTTGAAATCGATGTACTCACCACCACGACCACGGAGGCAGTAATCAACGAACTCAGATGTCAATTCGCAAGGCACGGGATACCGGAGGAGCTAGTCTCGGACAACCGTCCCCAGTTCAGCAGCAGGACATTCCAGGTTTTCGTAACCAAATGGGAATTCGCACACCGGCAAACCAGGCCCTAGCACAGTCAATCAAATGGGAAGGCAGAGTCGGCAGTGAAGCAAGCCAAGCGAGTATTAGCGAAGGCTAGAGATACTCGGGAGGACCCATACCTCATGCTACTGGTGAGTCGCAGCGCTCATTCAACGGATATCGGCCTGAGCTCAGTGCAGCGCCTATACAGTCGAAGGACCAGAACTGTGATGCCTGCATCCGCAACACTTCTGCGCCCTGTCACGCCGCAACTTGAGAAAGTACAGAACAGCTTGAATAGGCGAATGGCTACTCCGAAACGATACTACGACAACGGCGCACGGGAATTACCTGAGCTGACAGTGGGAGAAGAAGTATGGGTTGAACCAATTCCCGATGCACAGGAGCGGTGGAGAAAAGGAGTCGTGGCTGCGAAAGTCGGTGAAAGGCAATACGAAGTAAGTGTTGGAGGGAAGAAGCTGAGAAGAAACCGAGTACAGCTGAGGAGCTGTCCGAGGCGATAGCATGAATCAGGGAGAGGGCGTTATACTTCGTGCGGCAATGAGGCGACACCGGCAGATCCAACAAAGAGGACGAGGAGTGGTTAAGTGTATGTGTTGCGGGCACGTCAAATATTCCCGCAAAAACGCACCAGAAACCCCAGCAGAATGGCTGTGGAAAGCGAGGGCCAATTCCTCCCCCCAACGCAGCAGAGCTCAGCCACTCCGAGACGCGGCCCAAACTGTGCACCTTCTGACAATGGTCATTTACAAACTACCACCTCTTCGTGGTGACAGTTTTCCTTAACTTAATAACCCATAGCACTCTCTGTGATTGCCCTTTGTCGGTCGTAAAAGAGCCTACAGAGGACCACTTGTCTTTTCATCCTCTTCGCCTCAGTTGGGAGTCGGTCGGATCGCATGATTGCGTGTGCAACGTTAGCTGGCCAGCCTTCGCGTCTAAGCCATTAGAGCGCGTCTATCGTAAACCCCCCCTCTCATCTGCGTCCGTCCGAGGCTCGGCGTCTATCCGAACACGTGCGGCTAGGATCGTTAGCAAGCTCGCTCAATTACCCGCCTCACCGGCTAAGCCAGCGTCATCAGGACAGCGCAATTCCGTTCGAGTGGTCAGCGTAGCAAGCAATTATCGTAGGCGTGCCAGCGACCCTCTTATCAGGCAATTACGCAATTATCTCAAGAGGCGGCGTTCCCTCAATCATAACAGTGGCGACACAATTATAACAGCGGCGACGACTAAGGCAATCGACTCAATCATAACAGTGGCTACGCAATTATAACAGTATGGACTATTTAGCAAAGTACAGCAGTAAGAATATGAAAAAAGGGAGGATGATGGGAGTATATACTCGAACTAACATGCGGTGCCAGCCCAGCAAGGAAGCCGTTAGGCTGCCGCAGGGAAAGGCGGCAGCTGATTGGACGTTCACACGTTTCTCGCAGGCACGCTGATTGGCCAACAGTTGGACGCATTGGAGTGAGTTTGTTTGACTGAATCGAAGGAAAAATGTCATGCATTCACAAAGGTCGTTAATTATGGATCCAACTAGCTGTATATACCGATATGTTTCGCTTGCCCTCTGCCTGCGTTTTCGCCTGGTTCTTTTGTTTGCAGAATATACGTTTTGTCCCTGAAGGACCGACTTTTACACTGGGTTGTCAACCTACTTGACTCCGACGATTTAATAACTATTGTCAGTAATACCTGGCTTCCAGAAGAAGGTGCGTACGCCCAAATACCTACCGTGCGCGGTACGCATTACTATGCAGCGGTGAAAAGTCACACTGCACCCGATGCCGACGGGCCAGCACTGCAGTGTCCATCCTCGGTAGCACGAGTAAGTCTTTTTGTTATATTAACCCACCTCCTAAGTTACCTACCAGCATGCCCGAGAAGTGGAACGTCAATCAGAGCGCGGCATGCTGCCATCCACAGACGATACTATTCCCATGGGCCTTCCAGCTAAGCGTCCAATGTGAGTATGGTGTTTTTTATTTTCCCTTAGACGCCGGCCCGTCCGTTCTAGCTCCGATGACGGAGATGCCGCGTCCCACCAAACCAAAAAGTTCTGCTGCAGCAACATACTTACGTGCGCCCACTTCTCTCTTCAGTTGCATTAGTCCACCACGTCTAGGGCCATCAACAAGCAACCATAAGTATCGCGTTCATACTGCCCCCATTAAACAGTAATCGCGTGGCTGCTATGGCTGACGTTGCACCATGCAATCTGGAGGTGCTGCAGGAACTGAAGGCTTTTAATGTAAGACGTCACAGATGCATTGCATTGCACTCAGCTTTATTTTTAAATGAGTTATGCCTCTTTCGATCAGAACTGGTCGGCCATCGCCGCATGTCCGAAGCTATTTTGTGGATGCTGCAACGACAGTCCCAAAGTCTTGCACCAGGACTTTGTCTGCCATTCAGCTCTCTCAGTGCGCTTAAGCGATTTGATGAACGGCTCAAGGACCCAGATTTCAAAAACAGAGTGGTAAGTTCTTATTATTATTAAAAGACTTGCAGGTCAACCATTTGTGTGCTGCGCACGGTGATAACGTGCAACTCGTCGTCTGGGGTACCATGGAGTGGCTAATGATGAGATCAGTTGCCGCCGAGCTAAATTACTCCGGCGCAGGATGTTTGTGTGCATTCGGGCGAGCAAATAAGAACGGCCTTGTACAAGGTAGGTTGACATACAGTAATCCATAAAAACTACACAGACATCATTCGGCAACGCATGGGTGATGCAGCCTCGGATGCTGACATTACACGCCACATCAAAACGTGGTTGCATTCTGCACGGCACAAGAGACCGTCTGTTGAGCAAAGTAAAGTATGCAGTGTGAATGAGGTGAGTCCCCTGCTTCCTTATGAGCATCTTTAGCCTCCTACGTTGACAATCGCGGAAGTGGATTAATCATCTTGACAATGCCGCTTTCTGCTACTAACGATTTTTGTACTACACACCTTGATGTACATAAAGCCTTCTTATACCCCGGTTGTCATTTTCTTTCGCCTTGTGATGTTCCCAGTTGCGCAGTAACCTCCATTTTCTTTTCTGACCAACAGCTTGAGGCGTCGCCTAGGTGGGTTCCCACGTCCAGCAAATACGGCAACAGGTACTGGGTGAAACTTAGGTCCGAGCCGTCCATATATTCGTTAGGTGCTAAGTGCCTAGTAGTGTGATGTCAGCATTCGGATACCCATGGTAGGCAGTGACGGTATCTGGACCTACAGGATTGTCACGCATAGTGGTGAATTTCTATTGGTCAACACCAGCCTCATTTTCATTAGCCCACCATAAACTGGACAAAATGCATTTTTAGCCGCCTCACGGTACTTGTTCCTGTCCAGTTAAGCCTAACGATCTCATAGGAACGTTTAGGAGGCTAAACTGGACAGGATCTGGACATGTGCCACCAGGGTTGACTTGCACAGAAGTCATTGCCAGTGTTGGAATAGTGGGGAGTAATGGTTTGACCGGGATGTTTTGTTTTAGATCCAGCATGACCTCCTCGCACCTCAGCGTTTTCCATCGCAACGATCTGCTAAAGGTTGAACACACAATGGATTTTCCTGTCATTACAGTCCCGGCACTCGGTTAGTGCATGGTCTACGGGGACAGACGTATCCTGAACGCTTGCTCAGTTTGGGGATGTACTCAATGCACTACCGAAGGATTAGAGGGGACCTGGTTCTCACTTATCGTATTTAGACGGGTAAGATCCACTCGGACGTGTAAACGCTATTTAGTTACGCTACGTTATCTATTCTCCATGGTCACCCACTGAAACTGTATAAATCACGGGCTGCTGGGATTAGGACGCGCTATCGCGCTGAGTTATAGATTGCTGAAATTCGCTTCCAGCTCACGTGGGTAGGGAACCTACGGTTAAGGGTTTTGCGCGCCAGCTCGATGCGCTTTGGTGACAAAACCAAACATTTTCTGTTTCCCAACTGACTCACATTCACTTATAAGTTTTTTTTAGACGACCGAAATAGCTTGGTATTCAAGTTGTTAAGCTCTTTACATGTTTTCTTTTTGCTTTCTGTGTTTAAGGTTTTCTCTTTCTAACTTCACGTAACCGGCCCAGCAGGGCTTACTAGGGCTGGATACGTGGGGATTAATTGGTTTATACAGGGTGTGATGTGCTCAGTTTTAGTCCATTAGCACTTCAAAGTCTGCAACCTCTTGGTTCAACGACCCGCTGAAGAAGGAAGGTGAACTGAACTGAACTGGATAATCCCATCGATCCAGTCCCGCTTGAAATTTAACTTGAATTTGATTGATGTACTGTTACCTCTAGCTTTAGTTTAAATGTGTTTTCAAAAAATTTAGCTGCTTTTGCTTTACCAGGTGGTTTGTGTATTAAGTTGTACTTGCGCTTTATCGTTTTGTTTTACTGCCACAAGGTCACGGTTATCTTCTGCGCAACATGGGTGTACGTTTTCCGATTTTCGTTATAATTTCTGCTCATTTTTTAGGTGAGAGGTGCACGTAAGCATTTAAAGCGACTCAATGCGCCGAAGCACTGGATGCTCGCTAAGCTTGGTGGCAATTTCGCCCCTAGGCCAAGCACTGGACCTCATAAACTCAGAGAGTGTTTACCTTTGAGTATTTTTCTTCGGAATAGATTAAAGCTAGCTCTGAACTACAACGAATGCACTCGGATTTTGGCTCAGAAGTTTATAAAAGTTGACGGAAAAGTCCGAACTGACAAGAAATATCCTGCTGGTTTCATGGACGTTATCTCCATCGAGAAGACAAATGAGCACTTTAGGCTTATATATGATATTAAAGGACGCTTCGCCATCCATCGTATTCACCCCGATGAAGCGAAGTACAAGCTGTGCAAGGTTCGGAAAGTGCTAACTGCTTCCGGCGGTGTGCCATATCTCGTTACGCATGATGCCCGCACCATCCGTTTCCCTGATCCCAATATTAAACCAAACGACACAGTACAGGTGGATATTGCCACCGGAAAGATTCTTAACCACATCAAGTTTGAACCAGGTCGGTATATTACTGTTACTTCATTTTCTGCAGGGAACATTTGCATGGTTACTGGCGGCAGAAACTTGGGTCGCGTTGGTACCATCACACAATGGGAACGACATCCTGGGTCTGTTGAGATGGTTCACGTCCGGGACAGTGCCGGACACCAATTTGTCACTCGCTTGAACAATGTCTTCACAATTGGTAAATCGAATAAGGCGTGGGTATCTCTTCCCCCGGGCAAGGGCGTACGCTTGTCACTCAGCGAGGACCGCGAACGCCGGATCAGGTCACGACAAAACCCTGTTTGATTTTGAAATATACTATTGGAAAATGTTTTGTTCGTGCTGACCGATAGTTTGTTGAGGGACAAGACTTAACTTGGTTTGCGTCCACTCCAACTAGTCGTGCAACTACTTAGAGCCACAGCTTATCACATCGTCAGACGGTCATTGGTCAATCCAACAGCAGAGCAACTTACCATTCATAAATGCTGTTTCTTGCCGACCAGACTCCGCAATGTTCTGCTAGAATATAACCACAGGAATTATTTTGTATTCTGCGCTCAATGGACTGATTACTTTAGCTAAGTAGACGGTATATTCTTCGAAAGTGCGAGGTATGGTTCGACGGATTAGTCTAATCTCGCAGACAATAATCGACCCTTCTTAATTTTTGCGTCATTTCAAGGTTCCCGGGGTGCGTTTTCATCTCATTACATCAGCCAGTCGAACTGATGCTTCGCTGCCGTACAACCGTGACGACTTAAGGATCGAACAATAATGCCAGGGAGACAGTGTGCAACCTTAAACAAGCACTCAGGAACAAAGCGCCTACACCTTGTCAACGACGTACCATCACAAACAGCTGGTTATCGCGCGAAGATAGGGCAGTGTCGGCGCGATAGCTTCCTTGCGACTTTCTCTGCCTCACGTCATAGTTGGCCATTACGCCGCAGATAACTCAACACAAATAGGCAGTCCGATTGAGAAACGACCCCAACACTGATGCCGCCTGCGAACCGTGGCCTGTAGTGTCTCGAGCTAAGCACGAGGCGAGTCCCGTGTACTCCAGCCTGGAAGGTAACACTGACCTACGGCCATGAGTTTGGATTTCAGTCACTTCATTTCCTACTGCTAGGTTAAATACTGTCTACCTTGCGCCGCCCTACAACTGGCAGACCAACAACACCCTCATCGGTAAGCGGTTAACGGGCGTACGTGGTACGTGCCCAAGCTAACGCAAATTATTAATTGCTATCTGTTGTTTTAAGAATATATATATGTCTATGAATAGACATAGAGCCATCAGAAACCATGGAACATAAAAGGTACAGAAATTGTAAAATAAAACAACACATTAAAGTCCCTGGTTTCGTCAGATGGCAAGATACTACCCGGTTGCCCAAGCCTAAGTAGGGTGTTGACTTAGGGGACTCCACCCCGAGCCTTTGGCTGAATAGCCAGCCCGCAAGGCAGCGGAGCGAATTCAGGGAATCGCGCCCATTGGGGGCCGGTGACTGATTGCTCAGTTCATACGCCATTCGTCTGTTCCTTTGTCAAATAGGGGCCCAATGCTCCCCAGAATTACAGCACAAAGTTGCTGGAATAAAAGGAAGAAGCAAGGGCTGCTGGTGAGCAAGGCCTCCGTCTGGTGGGTTTTCAGGTGGTCAGCCGGAATTTATCTTCCGTCCTATCAGAACCCATCCTGATGGCGCACAACCCAGGGATGGTTGTGCCGACTTCCTTGAGGTAGTACTTAGCAACGTGCGTAGCCTAAGGAACAAGGTGCACCAGTTGGGTCTACTTGTAGACAAATCTCGTCCCGACATACTTGCTTTCACTGAAACGTGGTTGTCTCCGGATATCACGGACAGTGAGGTATGTTTACCTGGCTACGCGCTGCTTAAAACTGATCGCTCTATTAGTCGCCAAGGTGGAGGCGTTGTACTGTGTGAGCAGTAACTTAGATCTGTTGAGGACCTGCACATTACAGTCCTCGGATCAGACTGTTGAAGCCCTATCGGCTTTTTTGTGCACTTCCTCTACCCAATTTACAGTTATAGTGATATACAAAAGTGCTGGAAGTTCTTCCAGGAGGATACTTGACTCTATTCGCACTCAGTCTGCGAATAAATGTTTAGTTCTAGGGAATTTCAACCTCCCGGAATTCTGTTGGGCCGATCTTTCTTGCAATTCGGCATCAGGAACATTCGGTACAGACTTTCTTAGCCCGCCGTGGAGCAGGAGAAAAGCGTCTCCGCTTGGTGGGTTTTCGGGTGGTGAACCAGCTGTCCACTTCCGCCTTACCAGAGCCGGTCCTGGTGGCGCACGATCCCGGACTCACGATGTTAAATCCCTTCAGGTGATCTTAAGCAATGTGCGTAGCCTGCGAAGCAAGCTGTGCGAACTCGGCGCTCTTGTCGACGACTGCCGTCCAGATGTTCTCGCATTCGCTGAAACGTGGTTGTCCACTGGCGTCACGGACAGTGAAGTGTGCTCGCCAGGCTACGCACTGCTGAGATGTGACCGCACCTCTGATCGGCGCGAAGGTGGCGTTGCTTTGTACGTTAACTCCGCACTTACTGTCTTTAAGACGTATAGTTTCAGATCATCAGAGGGTGATGTTGAGGCACTAGCAGTTAACCTGTGTATTGCCTCCGCGCAACTTAAAGTTGTGCTGGCCTATGGAAGCCCCGACAGCGTTGCTAAGGGGCTTGCTGATTTCATCCGGCAAATAGGTGTTTAGTGATGGGGGACTTCAATCTTCCCGACGTTGACTGGCAGAATTTTTCCTGAGACGCTGTTACAAGTTGTTTTGCTACCGAGCTGCTGGAGCTGGCCTTGTATGCTTCCCTGCACCAATTTGTCCATCGGCCTACTAGATTCATGATGGGTCAAAACCCGTCCCTCTTGGACTTGATCTTCGCTAAATCCATTGATTTTGTCACGGATATTGTATGCAACTCACCTCTCGGTGCTAGCGACCACGCATGTCTCTCATTTAAGTGCGCTCTTAGTCGTCAGACTAATGATCATCCCGACCGAGTTCCAAATATATGGCGCGCGGACTTTCAGACAATGAAAGCCAAAGCCGCAAAGTCGCCTTATGTCATTTTGGAAAGTGACGACATTCAAACGGCCTGGGACGGATTTAAATCATACTTGAGTGAGCTCTCTCTCCCCCATAGACTACTATCTGGCAGGAATAAAACTAGGGCAAAGCCACCCCGGTTTGATTCTGCTGTACGCAAACAACTCAACAGACATGCCAGATGTTGGCATACCTACTTATCTGCTCCTTCATTATGCACCTTCAAGCGATATCGTGAGGTTCGAAATACCTGCAGGCAATATCTACGAGGTGCTCATCTACAGCATGAAGTGGAGCTTACTCGTATAGCCTCATCAAACCCGAAACGCTTCTTCGCTTAGGTCAAAAGGCGAAGCAACATGAATTCGTGCATCCCAGTGTTGTTTGGCCCGGACGGCACTGCTATTGTCACGGATCACGAAAAAGCTTGTTTGCTCGGAGAACAGTATGCTGGGGTTTATGTTCGAGAGTCAGCCGCCGCATATCAGTCTCCAGGCAAAAGTTCCTGAGGGCTCCCACTTGGATGAGGTTTCTATAACCGAGGCTCAAGTGCTCCGGCTTCTGAGACAATTAAGTCCCAATAAAGCTGCCGGTGGAGATGCTATTCATCCCAAACTGTCGTACGAGTTGGCTGATGAACTTTGCCGTCCGATCACGCAACTTTTTTGAAGTCTCTACGAGAATGCTCTCTACCCAAGGACTGGAAGGAGGCTATTGTTTGTCCCGTTTTTAAGAAAGGTGATAAGCACCTCCCTGATAATTATAAACCGGTCAGTTTAACGAGCGTGCTGATCAAGTTATTGGAAAATCTCTTGAGGGACGCTCTCGAAGGACACTTGAAAGCGTTTGAGTTGCTTAATCCTTCTCAGTACGGTTTTCGTAAGAGCTATTCTTGCCTTACTAACTTGCTAACCGCTCATGAACACTGGGCCGAAGCTGTTGATTGCGGGAAAGCAGTGGACGTGCTGTTTATTGACTTTTCCAAAGCTTTTGACACCGTTCCACATTCGCGCTTTTTGTACAAGCTGAATTCCTGTGGTATTTCCGGACCAGTCTTACGATGGATTTTAGCTTTCTTAATCGGGAGGGAAATGTGTGTGCGGGTGGGTTCAAGCCTGTTCTTCCGCCAATGTGGTCTGTGGCGCTCCGCAAGCTTCGGTTCTTGGCCCCCTTCTCTTCACTTTATACGTTAATGACCTACCTGATGAATTGGGTGTGCTATCCCTAATGTTTGCGGATGACTTGAAACTCTGGTTCACGCTAGACGAGCCGATTGGTCCACTGACCCTACAGTGGGCTCTGGATAGACTTTGGGACTGGTCAATTTTGTGGTAGTTGCCCGTTAATTTAGCGGAATGTTCCGTTTTACGCGTTTGTTTGAATGACCCGCCGACGCGTTATTTGCTTGGCGGCAACGAGGTACCGCGAGTTCAACTCCAATCTGACCTCGGTTTTTTGCTGTCCTCCGACTTTAAGTCCAGTGAACACTGGACGACAGCTGCTCGCAAAAGTTTCAACATGTTGTGCATGATCCGCGGGTCATTCGGGATCATGACCACCGACATGTTCGTTAGACTGTTTTCGGCTTTTTAAGGCTGCACTTGGAATACTGCGTCCAGGCTTGTCCTCCATGCCTGGTTCGTGATAAGATGGCAGTTGAACGAGTCCTGCGGTCCGGGACGAAAATGGTGCACGAATTAAAGAAGCTGACGTACCCGGAGAGGCTACGTAAGCTGGATATGTTTTCCATGTATTACATGCGGCTTCGGGGCGACTTGGTCCTCACATATCGTATATTGATGGGTCAGATTGGTCCTGATTTAACTGAACTGTTTCGCTCAACTCGACTGCCAACCCTTCGTAGCCATCCATTAAAGTTGCACAAACCCCAGTCTGACCGGGTTTGGGCAGTTTTTCGGTTATCGCGTAGAGTTATAGCTTATTGGAACGCATTGCCTACAGACGTCGTGATGGCACCGATGGTGAAAGAGTTCGAGCATCGACTTGACGCTCTCGGTCTGCAGTTTAAAGTCTTCCCCTTCATGTCTTAAACTTTTCTTCGTCTACTACGGCCTACGCTTCTTTAACTCATTTTAACTTACATCTTAATATTGCCTGCGATATTCGATAAGCTTGTCTTCTCTGTTTCCTTTACTGACACTACTGTTTTCTTTTATTCTTCACGTGGCCGGCACAGCGGGGACTGCTAGTGCAGGGCACGTGGGCATTGTTTGGTTGATCATGTGAATCGTGTGTGTTGATTTGGCTCTCCTTTGGCACA